CAGAACAGACTAGCAACTACTTTATATTCAGCGGCCTCAAGTCATCCGTTAAAGCGAACCAATCAAAGAGTCCTCCGATGTAATTGCATGATGGGTGTTCTGACGTCGACGCTACAGTGACGAATATCTATCTGCTGGCCAATCTCAAACAATCATTAACTTATCCTATCCAAGCGCGACTCATGATCAAGAAATAACACGTCTCGCATATCCACCATGGTTTGATTCTTCCTTTGAATCGCTAAGTCATTGTCCATCTCGTAGAATTGGAGCACAAGATCGTGGCGCACATGACCCATCTTAATGCATATCTCTGAAGTGTCGAAGAATCGCGTAACATTAAACTTACGTTCAATTTTCGAGGTCGAGACCTTTAGATTTGGATTACCGCACAATGTTTTTTTTTTTGGTAACCTTGATATTCATAGCTCACGGTTGACCGGCGACGACCTTGCTGCTCACGTTAGCAGAATATTTATAGAGAGCTTAAGCAATGACGACGGCGACCACGAGGACAACACCTAGTAAAAAATGAATTTTTAGTTTATCCTCGAAAAAGGAAGAAAAAACTTTTACTACAAACAGGAACACCAAGTTTGCAGCATATCACTAACCGCTGACTGTTAGGCTTGCAGTTTAAAACAAAAAATTCTATTATTCGTAGATAATGATGGTGAAATCCAAGTGTAAACATCTGACTGCAGATAGCCTAAAAACGTTCGAGAAGGTATTCATGCTATTTTAAGTAAGGGTGTATAACCAAAGAGAAAGCGATCATTGCTTCTATATACCTTTATTTAGTAATCCCATGGTTGATTGGCTCAAAATATAATACCCTCGACTGATAAATGGTATCTAGTCTATTATTCCATGATATTATACCGCCTTTACTTTGTCTCGCATACAAGAAATAACATCAAGTTGATAAACGAAGCATAAACGATCAAAATATCGCGAAATCTTGCTGTCGTATCCACCCCTGTTACTATTCAGCCTGCGGGAGGTCGTCTTTTCTCCAGCATTGAGAAATGTGATCTTTTATCCCTGGTATTGGAGTGCTCAGCTTTCTCTTCAACTCCTCTCTTTAATCTGCAAAATCAAAATTATCATTTCGATCACTGGAACAAAATGTGAACAAACAAAACTATAGCCACCTCTTTTCCTGATATGAGAAAAATCATTAATAAACATTGGCAATTGTAAGGGAAGAAGGAGAAACCACTGTAAGACACGAACAATCTTCAGGCTTGCTCCGCCCGAGTTTCAAACAAAGTGGCTGTCGCCTACGTCTCGACCTTTTAAGATACAGTCAGAGCGACATGCATGTTTGAGTTAGTCACACTATAGCAAAAAACTCATCTCAAAAAACTCAAGATTCATTTGAGCAATATTTGCATAACAGCTCTGAAAGAACTAGAGACCTGATACCACGACCTAATCTTTCGTCGTTGCCTCCTGGTGGTAGAATTATTTCTGCTTCTACCAGGCAAGGTTTCATCAAACACGGGAGAAAAGCAAACACAAGGAAGAACTTCAACAAGCGCATGTTGATAGCGATCATAAATGGTCTTCCTGGTTGGAAGTTGTTACAATAACAGAGAGCGAATCCAATTTGTGGCAATAATACCAACCTGAATGCTCTTTGCACTCATGAAGAACAGAGCAAAGGCTAGCAACTGCTGGGCCCCACGTCATCCGTTGGAGCGAGCCAATCATAAACTGCCCCGGTGTCATTGCGAGATGGGCGTTTTGACCCCGGCACTATTACTACAAACATACCTGCAGTGGGAGAAATGAAAGGTCATCGATGCATTATGAGCAGACGAAGCATGTTAACAACGCGAACAAAATTCATGCGTTATAGAATTAACGCGAATTTTCGAAAAGTTATGTTCACATACATTTAATCAACGCGAATTTCCGTGTGGTACGTTTGCATAATCAAGATGCGAATTTGATATTTTTCGCACTTATTTCGTTAGAAAACAACAACATCCAACAACAAAATTTGCTCTTTATTTCCAGCAAAAAACACAAGGTAGCCATACAAACTAGGGCATGACAAAAATGCGATATACATTTTGCGCAAGAAAGTTGAAGAAGTGCCACTTCTTCAACTTTCAGATCGTCTTCTCCGAGGGGATAACTCACTGAGTTATCCCCTTATTTTCTACTGCTTTCTT